CCATACATTTCCTTATAACAGGACACCACAGAAACCAAGCTTGGGCTTCCTGTGACTGGATTGAACATTCCTAGCGAAAATGTTTCAATAAACTAAAAACAAACAATCAACCAACAAAACAACAACAGCAACAAAAACCGACCACCTGGCCAGAACAAAAAAAAGCAGTTCTGGAAATAATGTTTCACTTGGAGGTTAAATCATTACCAACATCTTCCTTTTTGTTTTAGCGGTTTTTGTAAGCAGTTTGACCCGGAAATACGTCACAACTTAAACGCTCCAATAAAAAAATACACATTGCCACTGACATGTATTATTTTCGTTTAAGGATCGTCCAATCAACATCCACGCAAAACCATTTTAGTGCTACAGCATTCCATAAATATGTGCTTGCGCAATAAGTCAGTAATATAAGTTTCACATTTGTTCACAAATCGCAGTAGCATACTATGCTCAGATCAAAACTTACCAAACGAAGACAAGGCTTTTTTTGCTGCTATCTTTACGTTAGGTACGTCACAGCGACTTAGATAACGTAGTTGTGCTATGCAATCTTTGACCTAAAAGAACATTAGATACAAAAAATATTTGTTTAACGATAAGCTTTCCACCCTTCAGGGATTTTAGCACATGGTTCGTTAACATCGAAAGAGAAGACACGGCTCAAAAACCGCTACGCATGCGCGAGATTTTGCATGCCTCAAGCAAACAAAATGGCGGACGAGATTCGGGTCAATTGTTTAGAGGAGGTTTTAAGAAAAACTAAGGAAAAATGCTTAATTAATGAAATGTTTAGATATCACGAAGGATAAATATGATATTTTTATGCAAAAGAATAATCTGAAGTAACGGAGGGGGTAAACATTCTTTATTCTTACCTGGAGAACAGTCAAAGCCAAACAGGCCCCTTCTCTTAATCGATCATCTGATTCTTCTAATGCTTCTGTTGCCAGGGTGACCGCCTATAATAAATGATCAGTATTCAGTATATAACGTTAAGTGACTAACACAGGTAGCCCATACATACATTTTATAGAACAGAATAAGTATAAAGCTGCCGATACACGCTGCAATTTATTCTCGCGCTGGCAATGCAATTTCAATTTTTCCGTTGCATTGCCAGCGCGAGACACAATTTCAGCGTGTATCATGCCCCGCGACTTTGACGGCAACGATATCTTGCAACGCAAAAAGTTTGAACTTTTCTCTGCAACATTTTCGGAATTGCACGCCTAACAATAGCGAAAACTGGAAATTGCAGCGTTTATCACCCATGTTTACTCGCAATGCAATAATCCTATTCAGACTAGCCAATCAGGATTTAATATTGATTAAGTTTATTTCAAACCTTTTTGATAATTTGACAAAAATGTCAAATTGCGTCGACAGCGCGAGAAAAAATTGCAGTGTGTATCAGCAGCTTAACCCAGTGATGTTTTTTTTAAATGGCATTTTGGTTACATGTCTGGAAAAGATCCCATAAGAGGGGTGGGGTGGGGCGGATGGGGCTACAGTAATGACATTAGTAGTCATTTACGGACTGCTTTAGGTCAGTGTGAGATCACACTCATAAAGCACAATTCCCTCTAAAGAGATTCGGGGCGAATAAATATTTGAGATATAAAGCCGTGTACTTTGGGAGAGGTGATATTTTGATCAGCAGAAAAAACTGACATTTTCGCGAATACTAAGTAGATTTATTCTAATAATTCGACAAAATTTCGTCACAAGTTTCGTGCAGCAGTGGGGCGAGTGAAACGCCTAAAAGTTTGGAGTATTAAACTCAGCTAAAAAAAATCGTGAAAGTAGCGGGCTTGTTTTTCTACCCTGTCACTAAGATTAATACTACTCTTTTATTAGCCATTAAGATGTTTAGATAAAAACTGGGTCGAGTTGAGTGGCATTGCAGTGTATTTCGGGACAGTTTTAGGGGACAAAATAGAAGCCGTCTTGGAAATGTATCCCCTAAAACAGCCCACAATGCATTGCGATGCCAACTCGACCCAGTTTTTTCCTTAACCTTGAAATACGTTATACTTGAAATTATTTGATACAGAAGTTCTTACCTTACGCCTTGCCTCGCTGTCCTTTATTAGACTACACAAAAATGATTCTGCAAATTAACACATATTAATTTAACTTTTGTGATACGAGATTCTAAAACTATAATATAATGTTTTAATATCTTTGATTTCTAATGCATAAAGGATTATTTTAAAGGTTTAGAACCTCGTATCATGAAATTAAATAAATCTTTTGGAATCCAAGCAATGAAAATATCAGTAAGTTAACTTTTGTATTTTACTTTTGTATGAGTTTTTCGAAAGAGGGGGCTCTGGGACGTTATAACTGAGAAGACCAATCAAAGACTAATACCCAGCAACAGGCAACAGTAAATAAACGAATAACCGACGTCAGTGAAAGGATGGAGAGCTATTATTCAACCACTTTCCCGAGAAAAGGAAATAATGACTCATTTACCATACCTGCCGCTTGAACTAAATGTCTGTCTGTATCAACCAGGAGAGAAAGAACAGCGCAAAAACAAATCCTGGTCAGCGGCACTTCGCTGTACTGTTTCAACTGGAAACAAAGAAAACTGAATGAACACCATTTTTGTACATACGTGTGAAGTGGGACAATAAGAAGTTGGAGGATATAAGGCTTTGTGAAAAAAGAGGCTAAAAGCAGGCTTTACTAATTCTCTGTCAGCCTTTCAAGTTAGTTTTACAGTTGATACCACTAATAACAGAATCAAACATATGAATAAGAAAGACATGTTCAAGACGATTCTAGTATAACTTTTCTTTCAATTTATTTTACTATTTCAAGTTTTTTTGCTAGTTTCCTGTGACTAATAAGAGACTGTTCATTAATTTTGCCTCATGGGGGCTGGAGGAAAAATCTAAAAAATGTTTTTGACCCCCCCCCCCCCTTGTGACCTTTTAGGCATACCTTAATTATTTGTTTCAACCCCCAATTTAAGTCAGCAAATACTATTAAAGACCCCCCCTCTTTGTGTGATTTTTTTTCAAAGCCCCCCTACTTTTCCTCCCCCCCCCCCCCCCCTCCCCCCCAAGGCATAATTAATGAACAGTCCCTAAGTGTTATATATAATATAATATGGTTTTCTAAATGAATATTTAGGCATATTAGGTGAATCCTGAACCCCACCTGTGCAACAACTGCTTCTTTTTCAGTTGATAACAACCTTCTGCTTATTAATACTGTAAACAAAAACAGAATGATAATTTAGGACTAACCCTTGATTCGAGGGTTTTTCTACTTCCACAAGCCGGAATGAACAAGCTAGACTGAAAATCAATCTGTGTGTTAGCAGTGCTCTGATCTTGAGCAATCTGTGAGTTAACAGTGCCTCAACTTTGATCAGCATGAAGATAGTTTCAGTGTTCTATCTGTGTGTTAGCCATACGATAACTTGGATCATCTCAGAGGTTTAATTTGCCAAAAGGCCAATTTTGGTGGTACAATCTTAATGTTGATTACATGACAGTCTTTACTTACATTCATATGCTACTTCATCCACGTACTTAGTGGTGTTGTGCCTATGAAAACATTTCACTCTGTAAGACCTTGCACGATATAACAAGCAATGGTGGGGGGTAGGGAAGGGGTTGACCATTGATAGCTGGTACTCTGACAGTTGTACCAAAGATAATGGCGATGACTAAAAAAATGTAGGATACAATATTTTTCTGAAGATGCTGATGATGCTAATTTGATGATGCTAAGATAGTAATGCTGCTCAAGAGAGTGATGTTAATGACTATAGATATCTTATAGATCAATGATGCCGCTGCCTTGTGAGAATGGAAATCAGAGAATACTAAAGATGATGATGATGATAGTAGAAAGATGCAGAAAGATTTTAATGTTGATGATGTTGACTGTGATGATGGTGATAATGCGGAATGGTGATAATGAAGATGATGATAATGATGATGGTGATGGTAATGACGATGACTGTGATGATGAGGATAATGCGGGATGGTGATGATTATGTTAATGGTGTTGGTTTGGCTAGGTTGATGGTGATGATGGTGATGATGAACGTAATAGTACCAGTGTTGGTAACAACGAATATATACACTGATACATAAGGACCTCAAAAAATGGCTTACCTTGAATGTTCCAATAAAAAGTTCTCGTACTGATAAACACTAATAACTTCATCGTCCTCGACGATCGGTTCTATGATGTCACCATCTTGGTGTATGATACGACCAATTATTGTAGGGAAAACTGCATAATAACCAAATATTCACAGTCACCATAAATGTTTGTGCATCGTTGTGAGACTCGTACTGTATCGACGATTTGTTGTATCAGCCCCAAAAATTGCTTGATTATAACCAAGGTTTCTACCTCCGCGTTCTTTTAAATGGTGATGATTACCCTAACATTCATGTAAGTGCCAAAAAATATATAAAGTCCCCTAATAAATATCACGGCGGTATGGATCTCGGAATTATCCGGGGGCGTCCTAAATTCAGTTAGTAGCCATGTGTAACCATGCGTAACTCCTTAAAAGCGAGAACCAGGGAAATGCGCATATCTGCAAGTTTTCAAGTTCAGCAGTTCAGAACAATTATGAACAATATATCGCGCACATTTTCAGAAAGAGTAATGATGGACTGCTGAAGCAGACTCTGTTTGACTTTAAATCTACAAGGGGGAAATTGGATTGGGGGAAATTAATGACGATGACGATGATTAGAAACAAATGTCAAATCATACATTCCCGCAATTTCGAGAGAAACGTTTTGACAAGAGAGGAGTCGAGACAGGCAGCTCTTGAGCATGAGAATGATTGAGTGATTACGTTAGTTTCTTACCACTATCTGCTACTCTGTTATAACTTTGTTTTATCTGTGAATTAAATCTTTCTTCGAAAGATTCTCTAACATCTTTGGCTAAGACATACAATGGCTGAAAAAGAAAATACAAACTTGATACACAGCTGCAAGACTCGAGTATACCTTATACAGTCAACTCTCGTTACAGCAGACACCCTTGGGACCATTACTTGGTGCCCTCAATAGCGAGCGTCCACAATGGCAAGAATTGAATACGGTCATTTCTTTGTCAATGTTTTTGCCGATGATTTTTCTCCAGTCCGTAATAGCAACGTGTCAGTAATATTGGGGTGTCTGCAAGGCGAAAGTTGACTGTAGTCCCTTTCATAGTTCCCTGAGCCATCTTAAAAGGTAGCAGTGCATTTGACTCGAAGTGAGACAAACGGTGAGCTTGCAATGATGTCTCTATCACTGACAGCCAAGGCAAGRCTAACTTTAAAGATGGCGCAGGGAACTGTGAAGGGGACTGTTAGTGTACGACTGGGTTATAATCGGGAAGAAGAAAAATTAACGAAGGAGCCAAAAAACGTTAGGAGAGAACCAACAAGCAACTGTAATATCATATGTTTAGTATACCTTTTATCTTGTTAATTATGATATCGAAAAAAATATCATTACTTACACTTGCTCGTATACTATTTTGCCAGATAGAACACACCAGCACGTTCGAGAACAATCCAGGACAAGCTATAACAGCAATTGAGCATACAACCACATCGTTAGTATTGTATAATGTAAGCCTTTTACTCTTGCTACTTGATAACTTCAAAATTTATCGATATCTTGACACAACCTATCAGCTGTTCAAAGTCATGGCAGGGCTAAATAATAGATCTAATTGGCATTTAGCTTGTTAGGTTTTGAGAAGGGAGGAAAACTAGATAAAAACTCTTGAATCAAAGAAGAGGCCTTACGAACTCTATCAACGTGTAATGCCACGTCTGGGAATCGACAATACTTTTAAAGGGTAGTTAAACCGAGGCTAATAGTTGTGCACGGAGGATATCGTTCATGCCCAACGGATAAAAAAACTGAATAACAGAGTCATGAAATTTCACGAAAGCTACTATTAATTCAAGTGTCATAAAAAAATGGTCATAATGCACCATAGGCTCTATAAATGTTACCAAAAACCGCCGCCCTCTGGAGCGGAAAAAAAACTCCTGCGAAAAGCAAGCGAGGTCGAATAGCCAATTCTCGTTATTTTGATTGAGTGATCAAGCACAAAACAATCCGAGTCGAGGCTCTGAGGAAAAAAATAGCGTAATTTCAATTAATCTTCTGTTTCCCCGGAGCCGCCTCGACTCGGATTGTTTTGTGCTTGATCACTCTACCAGAATATCGAAAATTGATCGACATGGGCTTTGATTTGCGCATGGACTTTATGCGTAAGCAACAACAACAAAATACTTTCTGGGTAATAATCAATGGGCAAACTCATGGTATTACTCACCTCTTTCAAGTGTAATTTCTTCATTATCATTATGTATTGCAAGGTCTAGAAGCAGTTCTAGGACCCTCGCTTGGCGTCTTAACTTAGCGAGAGCTATAGTTTCCTAAAATGGAAAGAAAAAAGAAGTAGGATCTCTTAGACATTTAAAAACCTGTTTTCTCAAGGTTGCGTGTGCGCATCCAAATTTAAGGAACTTGACGAGCACGATACCAGAACACGAGTATTATTATGCATTTCTTGATTTTTTTAAAATTTTTTTTTCTAAAAGAATTTAAAAAGTCGAYTATTCTCCTCTTTAAATATAAAGCATTCTTCTCGAATTTAATGAATTTGCGCTTTTCAGTTTTGTGGCCCGTCAAGTTGGATGCGCGCGCAACCTTGAGAAAATGGTCTATTCTGAAATAAAGGAATTTATCTTCATTTATCTTCAGCCAACAGACCACTTTTTGTATATTCCGCTCTTTAGTCTGACTATTTATTACCGTTATAAATAATATAGAAAACAAGAATGTAACAGAGAGCCTGAGAGTAGAGACGCGGGTTATGGGACATTTAAAAATAAAAAATAAAATCTTACCTTAAATTTCATTGGTCCAAAAGATCCAAGGAACTGTAAAACAACGGAAAGATTTTTCTTTTAATTCTATAATATGACTGAACAAATATCAGCAAATGTTATTTATTTGATTTACTCACCCCAGTTAATTCTTCGCACAGTTGTAGGTGTGCTAAAATGACCTAATAAAAGATCATAGAAGAGGTATGTTAGTGTTTTTTGTAAAGAACAAAAGGATAGTTTTATTCCAGGATGTGTTGATCGCTGTCAAAAGCACTGCAGGTGTAATGAGACCGAGGCAATTTATAGGGCAAAGAGCTTCTTGCCCCAAATTGCCTCACTTTCATGGTCGCCCGGATACGTTTGACAGCGATCATCACATCTCGGAATCAATCTTATTGGCTTTGGAAATCCTCCTTTAACGTACTTGAAAAAGAAAACTAGGGATCGATGACAAAAATAGCAGCTACAGCATTAAACATTCCCAAAAATTATTCTTTACATTTTCAATTTTCGACTCAATCTGCAGCTCGTGGATATTTGTTGAGCTTGCGCTCAACTCTATCAATGTATTATAACGCTCCACACTACCTTTCAAAATTGAGAAAAAGACCCATGCACCTCTCCCTTCATACTACTTACCTTGTCTAATGCCTTGTTTCCTACAGTAACATCTTGACTATCGCTTGATGATAAATTAGGACTTATCGGCCTTGATCTTCCGACACCATCATTGATACTACCCCTATTACCCGTAGCCCCCAATGCTTCTAGATCCTCCATAGCCACGCCCTGAGCTTCATCCTCTTTCGATCCTACATCCCCTTTATCTTGATCCGACTTCCCTGATTCCTTATTTGTCTCATCTTTATCTTCTCTCTTTCTAAATTTATAACTTATTTCAAACTCCTCCTTTCCAAAACATGTCTCTATAATTTCGGTCGATGAATTACTTTCCGAAGCCTCGACAATGGTATCCGGTGTAAATTGTGGTAGTTTTAATGGGGATTTTGCACAGCCTTCTTCGCCACTGTCCCGACCAAAATCGTCCGTGCTGTTATAGCCAGTGTCCTGGTGCCAACTTCCATCGCTTTTGACGCTTCTTGCTGAGCTTTCGACCTCATCTTCATTATCTTCAAGGAAATCAAAACTTTCCAAAGCACTTTCAACGGATATCGAGATGGATGAGCGAGAGAGGCTGCATTTCTGTTTAATGGAACAAAAGTATATCATCATAAACTACAGTGCTATATATAAACATTATAGCGCGACTCCTTGAGGCATGACCACCGATAATCTATTGGCATAATAATCTTTTTTCTTGGCCATCGTCCAATCAGCATTGCGAGATTGTCTTAAATTATCTCCGATCTAAACGCTGAATGGACTCTAGACAAAAATTGATACACTTATTTCAATAAAGTTAGTCACATGAAAAGCTGTAAAGCTGAGGCCGACAAGGATTATGGGTAGATTCATTTTACACGTTTAACCGCTTAATAACTGTTCATCGACTTGCGAAATCTTTTACCGGTTACAGTCTCACCTCTTCTCTGAGCATCATCGAGCTGCAGTTTGTATTACAAAAGCTTTGTATATATATGCTTTTTTGATATGAAAAGTTTCCCATGATGCTCAGTGATCTCAGCTTTCTAGGTTTTTGGTGACTAACTTTATTGAGATAAGTGTATGCAAATACGTTATCGGTGGCCACAGTTTTTAAGCCTTGCGCTCTGATTTGTATTTTATAAAGAAAAGAAAATATCTTGCTTGCTGTGCTGAGTGTAGTTATAAAGAACTTGGAAATTAGCAAAACACCAACTGCCTTTATTAAATAAAGTGTACAAAGTGATGGACAGGATAATACAGCAATTGTAGCTTTCATGATCTTAGGAGCTTAATAAAGCGCATAAATTACATGTCAGATAAAGAGGAATTTAGAAGGAAAGTCTAAGAAAATAAGAAGGGAAAAAAAGAAGAAAAAGAAAGAAAGACAAGAAACTAGTACTAACATAACGACGCCTGACGTTGATCGGATCAAAGTATCTATAGCACAACCGGTTGGGAAAGAGTGGCAACTGGTGCACCTAAATATCATTAAATTAGCTTTTAAAATTAGATTAAATTAAAGGGTTGTTAAATTACATTAAAATTTCATTATTATTATGTTTTTAACAATTACAGCTGTTTTCAAGTAAACACTATAGCGGCACGCTAAAATTAGTTTTTCATTTCCGTCAATCGAAAATAATCAGTTGGTACCTTTTATACTTTTGACTGGCGTCAGTGAAAAACCAAATTCCAACGGCAAACTCGCAACAACCGAGTTCTATATGGCGTTACATTAAATTTGAAAGATTGTAAAATGAGTTCCGCAGGAGCATGTTTTATACTCACAAGCATGAATACTGCAGCGCGATAGCAATTTTAAAACGTGTCACTTCACAATGACCTGATTGCTCCTTCAAATCGTGTTTTACACATGCAAAGTTCACATATTCCCTATGTTATGATATAAAAGTAGCCTGGCAAAGATGTCTAAGATCCTTGTACATCACATTATGTAAATTCAAACATAACGGTTGCATTAGCCTGCGTTCATCGGCGGTCTGCGGTGCTTGCGCGAAAAAGAGAAGGGGGGGGGGGTGGGGAAGGGGGGCGAAAAAGGCTTTCTCCTTCGAAACACCGCAGACCGCCTAGCAACGCAGGCTACGGTTGCATCGATTAGCTAGTGTTAGCTAGAAGGTGTAAGGGTCTTTTCTTTCACATCACCTCCCCAAGAACAGGCTATAAGATCACTAATCATGATAATGTTGACTTATGGCCGTTTATGATGATGGTAATTTTAGAGCTTACCTTTAAAATTTCTTCCAGTTTTTCTAACTGTTTAATCATTAACTGCAGTTCAGGGTATTGGTCTAAAATCGCAAAAAAATTCTTAATCAATAATTATGGCCTTAATAATCATTCTTTACACTAGAGACGAAAAATACGTCGAGATGCTTAATACATCTATTACTTCGTACTTTCTTCGTTTGTTGCCCATCTGTATACTGTCAGACCATCGAACTCTTAGACGACGAACTAAATCAAGTAGTGCGTCTGAACGCATAATGCGATTTATGCAAGTCTTTATAACCGACGAACTTTGAGGCGCAAAAAAGGATGCACTAAAAAAGGTTGCCCAACTTAGTCCGGACGTATTATGCGTCTCTAGTAAAAAAAAAAACTGCCAATAAGCAAAAAACTAAGAAAACATAAAAATATCGAGCAAGCACTAGCAAATTCCCGTCAATTATCTGATGATCCATCCCTTACGTACATTACAAACATGAGATTAAAATGAAACCGTACTAATAGTATAACGGACCGAAGACTAAATATTTACCTTTATGCGACTGAAATGTCGGTATCAAGTGCATTACCGCACGGTCTAGAGATGTGGCGTGCCTGAATTCTTCAGGTTCTTCTGATATTCCATTCCCGAGTATGTAGTCCCTCTCAAACACTGGTGGAGAGTCGGCGATGATCGCAATATGATGTGCCTAGAGAAACAGACAGAAAGACAGTTTTACTGAAAATATATTTCTGACAAGCTCAAAAATGGGTTTTATGTGACCTTAATATAAAAATGGGTAGAAATTTTTATCAAAAAAAAAAAAAAAAAAGGAAAAAAAACATTTGTCGTCAGCCTTTTTTGAAATATTTTAAGGCATGGTCCAAGTAAAAACTGAAAGCATAGAAGCATTGTACATAGTCTCCCCCGCAGCCGTTCTTAGTGTCAGCACGCAAGTACACCAAATACAAATGATACAATTAGCCTGCGTTGCACAATAATTATCGCAGTCCGCCGGCAACGCAGGCTATGATTAGGATAGTCGTCAGTCATCAGCACAGTTGATACATACAAAAAATCATTTGTGGTTTTTTAAAACATACAAGAAACGCCTTTCGAACTCAACAAACTAGTTTTACTTAGATTCCGTTTTTTCTGTATTTTATATGAGCTTCATTCTGAACCCGACATCGATTCCCCCATTCTGGTACACTGCCTCAGTTGCATGCTATTTTGCTTAGTACTTACCCTTTCGGGCGTATATTTTCTCTGTCCGTCCTCACTATCGTTTAGGGAGCTGTGAATTTAGAAAACATCTTAGTTTTGTAGTTAACAAACTATATAATAGTCTTTCCTTTATAAAAGTGTAGTTAAATATACGACGCATGCGTGACAATCCATCGGTCATGACTAAACACTAGTGAAAATACAAACGAGATACTTTAAATTTTATCCGCGAACACTGAAACGAGATTTAGTTCAAAATACGGAGAAAGACTATTTGTTGGCCCATGCAGCATTTAAAAAAGCTGAACTAAAATTTGAAGTGCAAATCAAAAATATCAATTATTACAGAAGAAAAGCGGCTCTTCATTTTAGTTCAAATCATGACTTTTATTGAATTACTGCCGGGATTTATCAAAGCCAGGGCACGACTAACACTGATCGAATTGAAATTTAGATTGCTAGGCGTGGCGTAGGGAGGAAAACGAAGACGCCTGAGAAAATTTTCGAATCAAGGGAGAGACATAACAAACTCTACTCATATGTGATGCCGGCAATAGAACCCGAGACCCCAGTGATGTGAGGCGAGTGCAATATTGCTGTGCCTCCTCACTAAAAATAAGACATTTTCTACTCATAATCCTTATTGTATCCTTGTGTACCCTTTTTATTTCAGTCGGCTATCTTTTCTTGATTGATATTTCTATAGTATCAGTAGCTTCCATAATCTTACTTGTTTGATTGTAGGTTCTTGTTGCTTCCTTGGCTGTGAGCTGGGCTGGTTGAGATCGACATGGCATCGTTATTCTCACCGCCAGGTACAAAGATGACTTCTGAGAGTAAACTTTGAGGTCGTTTTGATCGTATGGTATTCTCTGCTGTGCCAGAGAAAGGTCTAGAGGCAAAAAGAGAAATAAAAAAAATAAGTGATTGAATATCAAGGCTTTTAATACTATGACTGCAGAGTTAACATGGCTACTTCGTCTCCTAAAGCGATTTCTGATTTCAAAAGGGCTTTAAAACTGAACCAATAGCAAAGCGAGGCATGATAATCATTATCCAATCGCATATCGGTTTACTTGGAAGGCCATTTGAGTGTTGCACAACATATTACTTTCAATAAATCCTATTCTAACATTTTATTTTGTCTTTACTTAAGAATAAGGAGTATTGGAGGAGCCAGACATGTATAAACTGCTTTTACTTCTTATCAAAGACAAATTTCAGATACTAAATTAATTTGCACGGTCAATCATTTAATTTTATAGACCTTCGCTCTAATTTTAAGCTGCTGATATGAGCGGACAACCAGCGTATTGTTGCAAGCCATTCCATGCACAAGTTTGGAATTTTATACCATTTGAAACCAAAAGCGGGAATATACCTCGTCAAATAGCAAAAGTTTAAAACGCACCCTTATCTTTTTTCGGTAAGGTAAAAACTAGTACACCGAGTTATCATAACAATACTTAAACATATCAATATTAAAATCTAAATGATTACAAACCTCCATTCCACTGTAAGTTTTAACTTCATAGATCCCGTGCTGTTTAGAGGGACCGAAAACGTCTGAGACAAAATTAAATAGATTAAAATAAAACGATATAAACTATAGATATATAATATACTTACGTGTGKTCTTGGTAAAACACTGTGTAAATATTCTATTATATACAATAGGGCTTGTATAGAGGCATATATGGAGTATCAGCCCATGACAAAAGTGAGCGTAAAACTTCGTAGGCGTATAATAAAACGATAAGCTGTTTCCGTTTCGATGTATTACCAAAAAATCTGCTTTTATCTCTCATTTCCTGCTTTATCATATTACCTCGGGACAGAAAGTTGATTTGGTGAAGAAGAAAAAAAAGCGAATTTTTCTTTTATCCATTTTTAGTTAACAGAGAAAGGAAAGGAAATGAAACGAAAGGAAATGAAAAGAAAGCAAAGTAAAAGAAAGCATCGCAAAGAAACGGAAAGCGAAGCGCCGGACGACAGAAGTCGAGATTAAAAGAAGAGGAAAAGAGAAGGAAGGCGAAGAGGTAAGTGTACAGAAATGAATACAGCAGAAAGCTTTTTTTCCCTACTTTTTCTTTTAGATTTTAGATTTTTGACATTCGCATTTTCACGAGTATGAGGAAGACTCCATATGAGTGCCAGATATGACTAGTGTCTGAATTATCTTCCTTTAATAATCACATTTACTGGTAAGGCTGGTAAAGCACTGTCACCAAACTAAATTTTTCTGAGTTTTTACTCTAGAAAAATCTGCATCACCTCTTCCAATCCCTTTTAAATTATTTAAAATAATCGTTGAAGTGTTTGGATTACCTGTGGTCTGGCCTTGATATAGGTTCTTGACCGCAATATAATATTGCCAACCGATAAATTAGCTTGAATTTTACGCATTTCAACCACCTGAAGACAAAACAAGTCAGCGATTCATATATTTTTTATCATATTTTTAATAATAAAACAATCTAAATGTTCTAGATGCGACTTCGTCAACTTACTCTAATCGATAGCTCATCGTTAATTCTCGGAAGTAGTGGAAACTGAAAGGTAGAAAAACAAACAAGACTCAAAACAAAATAGTCAAAACAGTAACCGCGGTAAACCCAATCCTTACAGAAAGGAAAAAAAGAAATTAGAAAAAAGAAAATACTTATAGTTAAGAACAAAAAATATCACAAATAAAAATTTTATAGTTGGAGTGGTTATTTGAAAGTTACAATAACTAGCATCCAATCACAAAACATTATAGAAAACCCTTTTTTCTATCCGCCAATCAAAGGTTTTGTAATATTTTGGCGCCATTTTACGCCTGCCACGCGCGCCTGCGGATTTTTCTCCCACAAAAATTAAGGGGAAAAAATAATGACAATCCCTTGTCAGTTGGAATTAAACCAGACCGAGATTCAAAATCAAGACCAGGAAAACTGTCTTTCTATAAAGGCTCTGGAAGTTTAAGCAAGGGAAACAATACTTGTACGACTTGGCAAACTGTAAGTTTGATTAATTCTAAAAAAAATGATTTTATAATGAATAATGTTTTATTTAAAACGAAAAAGAACAACCCCGTAAGCTAATCAACAAATTAGCTTTTGGCGGCAAAATTGTTTTATTGCTAACAAGATTTTTAGTGCTTTTTCTTCGGTGCATGCATGTGTATTTTACCTCACTATCAATCCATCGTTGTCCATCTTTATCGATTTTACACCTTGCTTTCCATTTAAATGACGACCCATGTTTGATTAAAACCTGGGAAATAAAATTAAGAGATTTAGACCATATTTGAAAATTAAACAACTAAATCGTAAATATGCAAAAGAATAGGGCAGTGAAAAGAATGCTCAATCGTCAAAAGCAGGAACGCAATTTTTTCTTTTTTCCTTCTATCTTTTTGTCTTGAGAAGATGGGTGAGGAGGTGNGGGGGGGGAGTATGTTATATGCCTCAACCAACAAGTAGGTTATCTGCCTATACATGCATACAATAGGACTAGGCTATGGAACAACAAACTGACTTACATCATAAGTATCTCCACTACAAAGTCTTCCAAATCCTGCTAATCCTGCAAAAGGCAATATCAACATGTGTACTCTTAGCAAATCTCATTTTTAGAAACATTTTTCTTATCCTTTTTAAGTTTTTAAGTCAAGAGTATTGACTTTTCAGCTCTTCTTTTGTTTGATTTCTTAACATATTTTATTTCCACAATTAAAAGCCATACCTTCTATTTTTATTCTAAATATGCCTAATTTGCTTTCTAATTCCTCCTCTAAGGCACAAAGTCTCTGTGAAAATAAAATGAATTAAATATGTTAAAACACTATTCATTTTATGAAATTGAAACTTGGAATTTTCAAACAAGATTTTTTTTTCAAAACAAGAATTTCATACATATCCACATCAAGCCCCTGAAACATGATTGCATTATGTCCATATTGTGTGTCAAAGCTTTGTTATGCATTTTTTACCTCAGTACATTCTTTATAACTTGACTTGCACTTGTCCAGCCCATCTTTGGATCCTTGTTGTCCCAATGCATGGATAAGATTTTTCGATCCTAATTTTAAAGTAGAGTGGCATTAAAATTAAAAAAACTATTAACTAGAAAGTAATCGCAAAAACTTTGGGATTTTTAACTACAAGCTAGAGACTACAAGCCTTGTATATACATGTAGAAATAAATTTTAGAAATTGTATGGAATAATCCTTATCGAGGCAGGATTTGCAAAAGAATTTAAATTTCAAACATTAACTAGAATATACATGTATTGGGGTCCTGTAAACATTTTTGAAAGCTGATGACAAAATGAGCAATATCTTGACACACATGTACATGTACCTTCTCTAATTTTTTGTTGATACATATAGAGTTGAAACAGCTCTTCCATCTATAAATGTAAAGATAGTGAATGATAAACATTATTGTACTGTATATCTTCAATGTTTGGTTGTATACTGTATATACAATGAAATATTATGCAATCTATACACAAAGTTGACATTGGTAAAAATTAAGTTTTAGATGCTTCTACATGGCTTTTTTTCACCTGCCAATTTGTTATAATATTCAAGGTTAGTTTGATGTATATATTTATTATTCAATAAGTAATAATTTTGTAAAACTAAAACAGATTATCAAATAACTGTTACGACAGTATATGATGTAACTGCCAATGTGCACTAGCATGCATTTCTAGCACAATGCATGATAAGAAACCGAGTATGGCACAATTAAGTCAGGACAAGGAAATCAATAGAATTATCAGACCTAAGAAGAAAAAAAAAATTATTTCGTCTGTTGAAATACACCACAGATTAGCCCTTGTATCATTCCTATCCAATATATATGCATGGTTATTGAAAGTACTGTAATTTGTGAATTATCTATAAAAGAAATAATAAAAACTTCTTGCTGTGCTGTGTGTAGTCATAAAGCCCTTGATTGGGTGTTGGCAGATATTGAGTTACACTTCACTTGTGTTCTGTCAACCCAGCATGCCGCATAACTGCAAATATCAAATTTAAACTTTGCTATTTAACTTCTGCAATTTGTTTTGAGATGTTTAAGACATACCTCATGCAGTCTTGATTCCAGTAACCTAGGTGAATAAAGAAATTATTCATTATAACGTAACCATTATATTAATTATTCATTACATGTAATTATTCATGTCAAACAATTAATACATTTAAACATTATTGCTCAAATAGTAAAAATTATCACCTACTATAAAATATACAATTTCTTGGACCAGATTGTGAATTAAGCAGCAACTAACCTTATTCTTTGCTCAACTAATCTTTTTCTCTGACGTGCAAAAAAAAAAAAGGTTAATAACCTTATGTTTCAAAAATTTTGGTTCACAACTTATTCCGATCAGTTATAAAGATACAGATAAAAAGATCCAAAATTAAAAAATTAAGTATTGCATGCAATATTTAATGATTATAAGCAGTAAAGTTGACACTCTGCTTACAGATACCTTAGGTTCTACACTGTTTAAAGCTTCTTGAAGGTATGTAGCACATTCACTAATTGAAAAAAAGATAATAACAATTTACATTATATAAATAATTTTAAAATGACATGATACCATCCCCCCTCCATTAACAGGTGGTTTTAAAAAGATATATTAAAATAATTAAGCAACAGTTATTTAAGTCCAGTTTTTTAGAACCTGATTATTGCATGCGTAAATGTATGATAAAATACATACATTAATCACATTAATTAATCTAGTATAGAATGAATGATATTGGATAGGGGTATAGACTATCTAGATAGGCATTACGTAGGGAATTACTTTTGAACTTGTAAAATTCCACTGTATTCGATTCCTTGACTACAGATTTATTTAGGGATAGCCTCACTTACAATATGTGTAGAATATGCTTCACTCACTGTTCCAGTGACAGCGAATGGGATTCCAAATGGTTTGCATTGTTGAAATTGTGCATTCTATAATTCAGTATCATTAGTATTTATGAAATATTTCTACAAGTCAATGAAATGAGGCTAATCTTATCTAAATGTCAATCTGTATAGTCAGGAAAACAGATGAGATACATATGTACTTTAACAAAAACTCAATATTTGTCTGTATCACCACAGCCTGTGTATTTTCCTTAAAGTTTGATCATTTGAGAGCATGCAGCCAATGAAATTAAAACAGTGTATTGTCAGCTCTGAACCAGCTTCCAACTAGCCATAAATATAAGCCCATATTAATTGGCCGCTCAAAATTGAAATTAAAAGTACACTCACCTAAGACCAGCTTGAAGTTTTGTAAACATATTTAAGGCACTTTCTACTCTAGGAACTTTGACAGCTGGTCTGGACCCAAAAAGACCTGTATGTCTACGTCGAACATTTTGGGAATGTCTTCTTTCTAATTCAGCTGGAGAGGGATGAAGTGGGATCGGTCTAACACCCCGTGCTGCTGCAGCACTGAAAGACTGTGATCTATGGATAAAACAAATTATAAAATGAAAAATAATCTTTAAAAATGTAGACCAAAAATAATATACACATTGAAATCTAAAATTTCTTCAAGTATTGGATATGCATGAAGTCAAATCCAGTCAGTCGACTGGCCTCACTGAAGCAGTTGTAATTAATTATTAAGTAATTATAGTTTGTTTATAATAATAGGATAATGGTGAGCAAAAACCCATTCAATGTATGACTTTGAGTCTTGGGGAAGGAAATCAAATGTCGTTATTAATAGAGGTAGATTGTATACTATATTATCTAGGTTAGTAAATTTTAATTATGAACATTGTTTAAAGTTGTGTCTATTTGTATTACTAATTAGATGTAAGTAATATTTGTTTCATGGGTATAAAGAAACACATTTTAAATTAGTAAACACAATTTGTAACCACAATTACTTATGTTTAATTAGTTTAATAACTCTTTTGATTAGATTATCATAATAACATTAACATAATAACTATCAACAGTTAATGTTATACATATTAATAGTAAGCTGATTAATTGGCAAAAAACACATGCTTCTATGCATGTCTTGTAAGTTAAAACTGTTAGTTTATAATCAAATTAAATCTAGCATCATTTTAAAGTTCTTAAAAAATTGCAGCCATACCAAAACTATCATTTTATAGTATATGACATCAGCTGTTTTACCTTAAGTTACTCATTCTTACAATATATAATAGACATTATTTGTTATAATCAAGAGAAATATAAAAAAATATTTTAAATGCTAATCAAGGCTGAGACTGGTTCAGTTGCCTTATTGTTTGCCTATGTGGTGATCATTGAACCAATGATATTAAGAATTAAATTAAATATTTATATGAATTTTAATTGCAGGTAATTGTATTAGAATGTCTTAAACTCACCTATTTGCTTGATTGTCATTAATGCTGAAGAATCCCCGCTCCATTCGTAATGATTTTGAGTGCCTACTGGGAGGATTTCTTGAACCACCATTTTCCTTTCCCTATTACAAGTATTGACACAATAAGTTTTCTTCAAAAGAAGCTTTCATTAATCAAAAAATCTGACAGTTTTTAAAGACCATGGTTAATTAGATAAAATAATGCTCTAATTTAAGACCCAACATTAAAAGTGATATTGTTTATGTCAGTATAATATTCAAATAGTACTGTACGATATATTAGTTGAGGTAGCAAAAGTTCTGTACAAATGAGATTAAACTTGCCCAACATCAAACAGAAGAATAAAAATTAACCAAGTGAATAATGTAATGAAAAAAGGGTAAATTTACTCCGACGGACTAGCGTCCGAAACATCTGCAGTAAGTTTTTTCATCTTTTCACGGTGTTAAATTTACCCGGCTTTTATCGTTACTGTTTTATTAGAAATACCAACGCAGCTCACAGTAGTTTTTAAGTGAATAATGCATTAATTTACTCCCTAGCTAGAGTGAAAAATATTCTGTTCAAGCAAACATGCAACTTTCATTTTAAAGCGAAATTGTTGAGAAATTCATAGACATTTTCAGACTGTTTCTTAGAGCAGTATAACATTGTAATACAAGATAAAAATATTTTCCACACACAATATATATAAAACTATAATAACTATATCTAGAAATTATATACTCTGAAGTAAATCTATATGGTTTTGAATCATTTTAAACCTATAGCGTTGAAGAATTATGCCCTATATTCATTCTTTTAGAGCAGAAACTAAATATAATACAAAAATATCGTCAAAATAATAACATACTTTTAAGAAATATCAAACCTTGTCCAAAGAAACCTATATCCATGATGGTTTTCAAAAGGAAATCAGGATTGATTGATGCACCTCTTGAGTTGAATCAATACAGAAATTGCTGTTATGATAATACTTAAAAATATCCCCGCAAACAAAACTGAAATGAAAAGGCTGACTTGACACCACATGTCATAAACCTGAAATAGTTTGTGGTTTTCTCAATCATGAAGCTGAAATAATGACAATGAAGCAGCCAATCCAAAAGCACACTGTCAAGTTTAATAAGGCTATATTTTTTAAAAACAATAATCATCATTTTCGAATTGAACTAAATATTTAGTACAATTTTCTTGAAAGGTGGATATAAGTAGAACTAGAGGAATAAAAAGTTGATTTTTCAAATTTACTAAATTATGTTAAAAGGTAATTAATTAAAGATAATATAACCTAATTACAATAATATTATCTAATGCCTGGACTTGTTATGGGAGCTCAACTCAAGATAAAAAGATAAAACACTAAATTTTAAATCAAGATGAAACAAGCTGAATTTTAAATCTTATAGGTTTGCCTTCCAAATTTGGTTTCCCCAGGAAACCATTTTAAAGTAGCCCATAAAACATCAATCTTAACATGATCTGAGAAAAAAAGTATGGGATGATGTTTGAAATAGAAAAATGTTTAGATATAAATATTAATTTCTTGCTTGCAGTATTCCTATTTTCCCCCTCCCCTCTCCCCCCTCTAAACACCAAAAAAAAAGAAAGGAAAGGAAAGGAAACAAAAACAAAATTACATACAACATAGTGTTCTAGCAGGGGAAAAAATCTGCATAGCAATGAATGGAAAAGAACTGAGAGAGAGGAAAATAAGAGATAAGAAAGCTAGAGAAAGGATAGGAAAGCAAAAGAAAAAGAAGGAAACAAAAGGAACCAAAAGGAACCAAAAGGATAGGATAGATAGTGGAAAAATAGGAAACGAAATGAAACGAAAGGAAAATTAGATACAATATAGTGTTCTATCAGGAAAAAAATTTGCATAACAATGAATGGAAAAGAACTGAGAGAGAGCTGTCACGATATTTGGATGCCCAGAGAGCTTGGTAAGAGCAAATTTGACCAGAGACTCATATCAAAACGTAAAGGAAATAAGCATTTAAAGCAAAGTTATTCTACAGTAATACTCCAAGGGAAAATACAAAATTATGTACAGTTTTTCTTGTTAATCCAAAAAAATGCCAAGAAAATATCACAGCATTTAGTTTATAACTGTCTATGGGGGAAAATGCCCTCCAGTTTGGATGTCACTTAGTATTATAATTTTAGCAATACCAATCGAAAATATATTTCACTAAAAAGAGGAATGTATAGTTTATGGTTATTGGAATCGTCACAGCAGGTATTTTATTATTCAAATCCAGTGACGTTCTTAATCATTACATCTATGAAAAACTTCCAATGAAAATAACATTCCTTTGTAGTGGCAATGTTATTATGTTATAAAATTTTATCACTTGGCTAATTCAACGCATTATCGATAGAACATAATGTCAAACACAGGGCCCTTGGTACAAATATTTGTTCGGAAAATGAATAAAAAGGATCAGTAACAAACGATTAGCAAACACTAGCATGTAGTATAGATGTTAGCTATTGATAGGAAGCAACCGACAGTGGGACTATAAAATCTCGGCGAGGCGGTCACAGACACTCAAGAGAAACCTCACAGCAGAGGGAAAATATAAGCCAGAGGATGTCGATTTGAAATATCACATAATTAATGAAAAATCCGCTAATCATTTTTAGTCCGAACTGTCTTACAGTGGAAAAACGCTTTGTTTGGTTCTAAAACGACATGGCGAAATATTTTCTGGAGGTGCGATAAGCTAGGGCTTACATATTAAGTCATATTAACGATTTTGTAGAGCAGTTCTGTCATGGATAAGCACTTCAAAAAGCAAGACTACTTACATTTTAAGACCTCTGTTTTCGAGAAATGAAAAAAAGATGTTGCTTTGAAATGTCGCTAAGATATGTGATAAATTAAACGGGTCCGGTGAACTGGATAGACTATGAATGAAAAACTGATAAAGCAGATTTCGATTGACACTGATTTCTATACAGTGGGATAAACTACGGAATTCAATGTACCATAACTGTCAATGTAGGATTACCAACATTAGATTTAACCCACTAGCAACCATAAATACTGTTCTTCACAATGCTAAAGAGCTTTGTGGTTCGAAAGGGTCAGAACAGTGTTAAAGTAATCAAGAACAAGTACAGTCAAAAACTCACCATTATTTCAACGAGCTACAGCCGATTTCTGATATGATTTTCTCCTCACATTGATGCGAGGGGAACTTTAAGGTATTTGTATACAAGCAGTGTCAAAGCCGGTTACAAAATTGGCAGCAAAGCTCACTCATGGTTGAAACGTATTCTTATTTACTTTCTGCATCAGCGAACAGTGAAGGTCACGTGACGATAAGGAATAAATTATCGCAGCACGAAGGAATATCGACTGACAACGGAGAAATATCGACTGCTAATTTTATCAATACTTTGCTTATTTGACGAAAAATGTCGATTTTCAGACTTGATTTCGAAAGGGAGGATGTGTAAACGTCACGTAAAGGGCTACTTTTGTAAATTTGAATGATCTTCGTAGGAAAAAAAGAAATACTAAGACGGGATTATTTCCCCTTGGTCACGAGTGGAAGATAGTCTGAGACGAGCCATTTCATGTCAGCGTTGATTGAATTACTTACATCTACACAGTATTTCCGGCTTAATTTTGCGACACGTTATCGTTGTCATGGCGAGAGCTAGACCTGCGGAAGGAGCATAAAGTCGTTAATAGGAGAAATCCATCTTGAAACCGGTTGCATGAAAGTTGATATTTTTTCTAATTTCAGCCAAAAAAGGTAAAGAAGGAAGTAAATCCTAACTGAGCACGCCTCCGTAATTGAACAAATGACTCGATCTACAGGTTCTTTCGATAGACGGTTACCGAGGATTCTTATGACAAAGTGCTGAATGGTACATGAAACTCATCGGCTTGTTTATAACCAATGAACGTTTGCGTAGGTTTAGATAAAAATCAGTTTAGATATCTTTCAGTGTAGCTATAGGTGGGTGTTCTTTAGCAGTTCTTAGTTTTCTTGGCTAGGGAAGGTAAGCAGTTGGTGGATGCAGCAGTTGGCTGCGGGATTCTTAGCTGCCTTCATATTGCTCTTCTGAAATAAATATCACACAAACAATAGGAAAAGCAAAAGAAAAGAAAAGAAAACACATGCGACCACAACGTTGTTAAGTAGTGAACTGAGTAGCATTGCCAACCAAAATTTTCCATTTATACAAAATAGGAGAGTGGTATATCCAACGTGGTCTATTACAGTCTTCCCTTTATAGCTCCATCCGCCACTTTCCCGACCAAACAAAAAAACATAACTTTCCGTTTATTTTTTGTAATTTAATTCAAAAGATGAAATAATAAACCTTTATAACATTTCTACATTTCTTCTGATATAGAAGTCACAACAAAAATTCATAATGAACTAAATATAAATTTTATAAATTGATTGGATACTGTAAGTAGATATGAAATGGCGGTTCTGCATCACTCGAGTGAGGTGCCATTGAGGTGCCATTGAGGTACCCCCCCCCTCCCCCTCAGGGTCTTTACAGAGATGACGTTATAGCTATTCTTATGTTTTTAGTTGACTGGATTGCACCACATCCTATATTTTACGTCAAAGTTTAATCCTAATAAAAGTTTCTAATTATTCATAAAATACAGTTTTTCTATCTCAAAGCCTTAAAGGCTTAGTTTAGGCTTTTGTTTCATCCTATTGAGTTCTACGGATATTGTCCTTTGTCTTACTACCGCGATAAGATATTGAATACTAAAGATTTTGAGATTTTATGCCCAACTCTTTTACTACCGTCTAAAGTAAGAATTGCACCACTCACAGGCAATACGGATATCGTCATATCTATTTTTAGAATTAATGCTTCAACTTTATGTTCGGAAAACACGAAGTTTTCACGGTTCGAGTTTCCTCACTGTARCAGATGGTAGGTTTTATGCTAGTCAATGTTTCAATTTCAAGTTTCCATGGATCTTTGCGGAGCATGAAAAGTATGGCGCTCGCTGTTTTTACACGAATGCATACTTAGCCAGACACGCGTCGCGCATTCGGGGTTCCTTCAAGTTCAGTAGCTAGTTAGTATTCTGACTGAGAACTAAAAAAGTGCAGACTTCAGGGAGCAGGGAAGCATTGTTCTTAAAAACATTGCTTGTACTAATTCATCAGGTCAGTTAGACGTTTATGAAGGAACTATCATCACAGCCCAGCCATTACTCGGTTCCAAGTGACGTCACGTTTTGTACTAAAAAAAGAATCGAATTTCCTGTTCTGCGTTAAAAATAATGATCCTGCAATCGAGCCAAAAAATTCATATATAATTAAAAGCAAATATAGCGACTGAAAATACCAAAATAAATAACAAAATGAGAAACTGAAAAATCTTATTGCTTATTTTTTTGAATATTATTGAAGAGATGAAAGTAGATGATGAGACAATGTCGGAATAATGACACGCGTCTTTGATGCCAGACTTCACTAACCAACCGTAGTACTGCTCTAGCTATGCTAATAGAAAAATAACAAACTATAACATTACACCTACCTATTTTACTTTTTGGTTTTCTAATCATCGTAATGTTTTGATCGAGTCTTTGACAACGTTATATATTCTTTTATAGTATATATTCTTTAGGTACTGTTTATATACAATAAAAAAATATGTGACATCTGTCGTATTTGAATTCTTAGTTTAGTCTACTGGAAAAGGATTTTATAATTTCATGATACTGAAATATTTCATAGAGATGGTTGTTATAAGAATGGCAAGAACAGGGGATTACAGAATTTCATATGCATGCAGTGTATACTGTAGAGAGGCAGCCGCTTAGTCGCCAGGCTGAACGAACTGGTACATCATGATTACCCTCAGATTTCTAAGATTCTTCAAGGTCGCTCTTTGTCAAACTCACATATAGTTTACACAATATCCTGCTTTTCTAAAGGCATTAGTATCAAATTCATCGATGATACTTAGTGCTATTTATTCAGTCAGTAGTAAAATATTCCGTGCGTGTCCATATACAATTCTAGCTACCTACGTCGAGTTACTAATAAAAGTGTCAAAGCGTTTCTAAGTTATAAGACAACAACGGCTGCAGTCAACTTATTATCGGCTATACTGAAATCACGAAACATGAACATATTAGACATATAATAATTAGACTTACCGCGCAAAGATTACAAAGACTAAATAGATGTAGCATGTCTTGAATCATCTAACGTTGAGTCTCCACATYGTCTAGATACACAGAGAAGCATTGCTTCAATATTGCGGCATATTTCCTCTCTTTGATAACATGTTTAATGAGTCAAGATAATTCGATAAGAGGAAGCATTATCTCACACACGAATCCAGTCAAACCTTAAAATGGAAGCTCAGTTTCATTGTGCTGTATTAAAATGTGGCTTAGGCTGAGTGCTGTTGGTCTCCCAAGGCGCATACAAAAGAAATTTCTTAGTTTGTTGATTTTGTAACGTGGAGCCTATTAATGCGTAAAGGTAATAGAAGGATTTCGTTACGTCTTTTGGCCTTTCCTGACAAATGGTGATAGACATTTGTTGGCTTGAGGGCCTCAAGAGGTGACACTAGATTTCGGGGTGGGGAGGGTAGTGAGAGCTCTTGTAACTCGGTCAGAAGCTTTTCTATAAAATTGAGACAGGACTAGCAACAATAGCGACCACCCTGGGTTTAAAAACAAGTAGCCAAGTCTGAAAATAGCGACTATAAACCTAGCATTCTGATGGATAAACAAATAACACTGAGAAGACTTGGTTGGTTGATCTCTTAGGTACTTATCATACGAGGAAGTGAATTCATCAACCATGCTATCTTAACTAATTCAATCATAGGAAACAGACTTGTATTATGTCACGAAATCAGTCAAATTAATCTACTAAAACCTTACCAAATCTATTAGACTGGTTATATTATATTTAGACACCTTTTCAGTTTTCGCAAAAGTCAAAATTTACTACCGATGGCACTACGCGCCCACACCGCGCCCACGACAAACAGAATCCAAGACTTGACGCTGACAATAGTGTTTATCGGACATGTACCCTAACCCCCCTCCCCTCCCGGGGTGTGTTAAAAATAGCATCGAAACGCGATCCATGATCGAACAAAACTACAGCGAAGTTTATTTTTGTAGACTTTGTACAGTATAAACACAAATATGATATACGCACACAAATGCATACATAGAGCGTATGTTATTTCATTTGAAATAACAGTAAACGCGTGCATACGAACTTGGAAAAGTCTATTTTAGATTATACTTCTTTGCATTAAGCTATCCTTAATAACCCTAATATGCGTTCGGCCAAAAAAAAACAGTGAATAGATTTCATGTAGGAATTACTGATCTCACCATTCAAGTTCCAATAAGCAACAACAACAAAACAACAACAACAA